CCTTACATGATTGGCTTATTTCAGGGCTCTACATATACACAATCACCTGCGGTATATGTAAGGGGCCCTCCTACGAGTCCTAAGGACCCTCCTTCATGTATGGAGGCAATCATTTATGCAAGGGCAATCATGTACTTGTGCGTCTGTATGATTGGCTTGTTTCAGGGCTCTACATATATGTAAGCTCTGAAATAAGCCCAGGCAATCATGTAAAGGCCATCCATACATGGAGGGCCCCTTACATGATTGGCTTATTTCAGGGCTTCACATATATGTAAGTCCCCCCGATATATGCAAGGGGACCTCCTAAGGACCCGCCATGTATGGAGGCAATCATTTATATAAGGGCAATCATGTACTTGTCGATATGAGGGGCTGCCAGCAATCATGATAGGCCCCCCATATGACTGGACCAATCATGTGTGTTGTGTATGAAGGGTTGGCAGCCTGATTCTGCCATGGTCCCTTTTTATGCTTTGTTAAGGAAGCACAATGATTACGCTATGCCTTGTCTATTTTCTCTGCTTTTTTTTTTCTTTTTCTTTTTCATTTTTGTCTTACACCCCACCACGTACCTTCTTGCCATTATGTTTCCCCATTATGTTTCCCTTCCTGAAGATCTGTGGTTTGGCCCCACAGGCCAATTATGACCAGTCATCCCTATCGCTTTTTCGTTGTGTCCTCTTTGTTAAAATCATTGTCTTGTCGATCTCGGATTTTAGGGATGGTTCTTTTATCGGATTTGCAATTTGTAATGGCCCTTATCTATAGACTGTAGATATAAACGGATGGGAAGCCTGAGATGGAAGGCAGGGCCCTTTCCGGTGTTCACACTACAGCAGGTAGAGCAACGCTGAAGGGTTTTACACACAAACTATCCAGATGACCTGAAACTAAACCGCAAAACATTACTAAACCCTAAACACCTCCAGCAACCATGCCATCAGTGAAAATCCATTATTGAATCAACACTTATTGTCTTAAACCACCAGTACAGGCCCCCTGCCCCAAAATGTCTGGTGGTCTACAAGCAGGACCACTTCTAATGTGCCAGCCGCCAGTTAGATTCATTTGAGTGCAAAAACTTTAGGTTCAAAATTTACTAGGGTCTGCTGTACTGGTGTTCTAACATTTAGACTTGAACGAACCTCTCCTTAGCCTGACCCTAGGCATCCAGATTGTCAGGGGACACGGAGTCTATAAAAGCTCACGACCCAATCCCTTAAATCACCAATACGTCGCCCAGCTATTGAAGCTGAGCCTGAAAATGCCCTGCGCGCCAAAAAAAAACGAGAACCGGCACGACCTCCTTTTGGCTGCCGCCACTTGCCATTTTGCTTCGGAGGCCGAGCCGCAAAAATTGTGGTGCTTTAACGAGAACTGCCCGCGATGGATGTATGGGCCAAGCATTGGTGGCTTAATTCGTACGAGAGTCGGGGGAGGGTTTCAATCAGGGGATGGAGGATCGTGCGTGGGCAAGGATTTTTTGGGCAAGGGGGTTGAATGCCAGGTCAGAGGTGGTGCTCCCTTGAAGAATATGGCTGTCAGGAAGAAGATAATAGCCTAAAATTGACACTACAGAAAATCAAATATAAGTCCTGCTAGTTTTCATTGGAAACTTGTGAGAGTCCGACAAAATTCGTAAGACGTGTGAAAACGATAAGTTCAAAAAGAAAACAGGGCAAAATAAAAAAAATGCCTCCGAGAACTCGACTCCCATTTATGCTGGTAAGTGTCCAGGATTGTAGATTGCCTATATCATCACAGCTGACTCACAGTTCACACGAGTACTGGTGGGATCACGTGAAGGGGCGTTAGGCAGCAGTGATTTAAGATCACTCACACATGCATGGTTTCATTAGGGTTCATTAGCTGTCCTATGTGTGGTTTAAACCACCAGTACTTGCCCAGCTATTTTCTTCAAGCTGGGCCATTTGAAACGGTATTCACCAGTTCGCAGTAGCTGATGCAGATCCCAGGGCTCGATCCCTAGTTCTCCATCTTACCTGTGTACAGTACCGGTGTCAACCCGTAGACTTGAACCTGCGACCTGTAGGACCGCCAGTGGTAGGTAGGATTTCGTAGGTTATAGGGTGTAAGAGATTCGAACTGTTGACCTGTCGGGTAGAAGTCTAGACAGTCTAGATGTCGTAGCTGTAGACTGTCCGAAGGGTCAAGGTCGTAGCTGCTACTTACCTGAAAGGGCAAAGTCGTAGCTGCTACTGTACCTAAAGGCCAAAACCGAGAGTTCTAGAAGTGGCCTTTCGGAGTCAGCCTACGTTAGGCAGAGGCAAGTGGTCAAATGGTGGCAGTCCACCACGTACAGTCAGCAGTCCCAGTCCACCCAGTCCGGTCCAGTCAAGCAAGTACCGTCTGGGACTGTGCACACCGTGGGCCAAGGGATACAGGGCAGACCAACGCATCTCAGAAGTATAAAGCAAGAGGCTGCGCCCAGCCATTCGTTCATTCATGCGGAAGCCATGCGGAAGCGCTGCCTCAGCGTCTTGTGCAAGGAGGTCTGCTGGAGGCCCGAAGACGAAGTGGGCGAGAGTGACATACCGTAGCCATAGCGGTAGGGTAGCGGCGGCCATAGCCGCCAAAGCTGTACCTTAGGGGAAGTGTGTGTGTACTGTGTGGGTGTGCTGAGTATCGCGTGTGGGATATCCAGGGTGATCCAGAGTCTGAACAGTGAGTTGTTTGGGCATACAGTCGCCATAGCCAATTGCAAGAGAACTCTTATCTGGGTGCGATATCTCTGAGTACTGTTTGGGCGCATGTCGCCAGTTTGCTGTATAGCTGTTTACATGCATGAAGAGTGTGGATAAGTCTAGTCTGATTGCACATTAATGCACTGCAACCTTTCAGGTTTGGGGCCGCTGTTGATGAAATTTCATGGACGGCCTCCCGAGTGGCCAACACCCTAAAAAATCATGGCGAAGTCCTGCGGCCGTAGACTGGCCCGGGCCAAGTGCTGGTGTTTAAACCACCAGTCCATCTGAGCCTCTTTTGTATAAGGCGGATTCCCAGTGCGCGCTTTGCCGAAACACCGGCGCACCGTCTTTGTTTTAGTTTTGGCTGGCGCCAGCGGCCATTTTGGTCCCGTTGCCCCGAGCCTCCGATTTTTTTGGATGGGCGTGATTCTCAACGTGGCTGGGGCCATGTACTGGTGGTTTAAGAGAAAGTGCTTAGTTTCTATACGTATCAATCTCAATCTGTCCCTCTTGCCTTTGCTTCCTTCTCTTGTAGCCGGTGTTCGTCAAGGTCAAAGGGGATTCTCTCCTACTCCCTCCCTGCCTCCTAACTGTTTGCTTCCCAAGGCCCAGCAATCCTCTCTTCTCCCTTCCTTCTTGTCTTCAGATGCCTTCACGATTTTGACTTGGGTTTTCCGAAGAAAAAAGAAAAGGGTTTTCCAAAGAATACTACGTTTCTAGTGGGCAGGCCTTCCGGTCTTTATCATGGTTGCCCTGGGCCCGGACATCCAGACACCGGGCACCGGGCCAGGACCCGTGTCTGGATTAATCCGGACGTCCGGTGATCTGGACACCAATCCGGACAACCGGACATACGGACCCGGACGGTTCGGTTATGAATGAACAGTGTCGTACACACACACACACACACACACACACACACACACACAGCACGCATGTCTTTCTGTTTGCATACGTATGATGACAGTCAATATTGCACTCACGTCCGGCACCCTGACATGTCATGTCCAATTTGTAGATAGGGGCTCGAACGACAATGCCTCTACAATTGCAGCCGGTGTGCCTCTGTGTTCCTTGCCTGTGGGAGCCATGTTACCTGCGATATCTGTCAACGCCGTGCCCTTCGGTGCAGCAACTGCAACTGTGAGAATTGGATGCGATGCTTCCACAGTCCGCACCTGAATCGGTGCTGTCCGGTCTGCAGGAGTGGTCACCTACCATAGGCAACAGCTACCATAGGCAACAGCAACTCCTCATCCTGCAACCCGAACACTGATTGGCTTCTCTTGTCATTCTACAGTCGTCTGCTCCAACGGTCTGTATAGAGAATCT